TCTCTCTCTCTCTCTCTCTCTCTCTCTGGTAATGCCGCTGTCCGGTTTAGATACCCGCCCGCTGACTCGTCAACTTGCTCTGGAAATTAACCTAACCGTCGAACCGTCGGATCGGGGAGGGACCGCACTGACAACGAGATATACTCGCGCGGGACATCCGAGACCAGGCCCGAAACGATGCACAGTCAAAGGAAATGTAGATGGACGTGTATGCGGCAAATATAATCGCGCGGAAAGACGTCAATAAAGACATACACCCGACCGCGACAACTTTCAGACTGAGGGTTGTTTCGGCGCGACACTACCGCACCGCCACCCCTCGACCAGCCGGCTCACTAGACGTCAGACCGCCGCACCGCCGAACCAACACGACCAACCAAACTACAAACCATGACGTACTCCTCTGCCAGCTATTGTTTCTTAAAACGATTGGCTTGAATCGCGCTTTCACTACCCTTTCCAACTGTTCACGCTTCGCTTCTTTAAAAAGCTCGCTGCACTTATTAAACAACTACTCTCACGCTTCTTGCGATTGTCGTAATTGATCGCTTACACACACACACACACACACACACACACGTTGTAACAATTAATATACATTATAATTATAATTATATATATTATAATTTTTATAATTTTATAATTATAATTTATATATATATATATATATACACACACACATACTGACAGATAACGAGTGTTAATTGTTATACTTTAATAAAGTAAGAGAGACATAAATCTGTTCAATGAATATCGTTCGTAATTGTACGTTTTCTTTTTCTTTTTCTTCTTTTTTTTTTTTTTTTTTTTGAAACGAATTTACGCAAGCAGTTGTAGCATTTATTGTGTGCATGTAATCTCACGATAACGATACCGACCGCCGCTCGCAGGTAATTTTATACCCGGCAATTATGTTGGAAGCGTTCCATCTTTCGATAAGTGGCAAGGATAAATTGCGAAATCGGCGCGTAAAATTCATTTCATCGTTGGATAAAGCAAAAACCGGCCACGGATAAACTTCGCTCGATGATGGATGAATTTCTTTTCTCTGCAATTTCCCTTTTACTTCTCGGACGTAAGTATGCGATACAATGTCTTGAACAAGTAGACAGATTGCATTTACGTTACGATTGAAAAGCGTATTTCCATTTATAAACTTTTTTGTACTTGCTTTCTTACACGTTTGTATCATTTTATATAAATACTATATTTATATAGTGTATATTTATATACTTTTATATATACATGTTATAGGTAACTCGAGCTATAATAATCTTCATAGTCATACTTAATAATAAAACAGTATGCCGTGATTACGTCGAAACAAATATGCAATAATAAAGTTTTCAATTATCGTCAATTAATTACGTATCTTAATACTTAAGAAGCGTATGTTTTTGAATATTTTTAGTGAAAACGAGTGGACTGGCATTACCACGTGTAGATCGAATCGTTAATGGTGAATATATCAGTATCACGAAAGTT